ATGCTTAAAGGAGAACTATGAGGTGAGTGATTTCCACTCATCCTCATAGTTCGAGCCGACTTGTGACAAAGAAGCTGTCACAGGTCAGCTCTATAGATCGGGAAGTGAGCGAACGCATACCGTCGCTTGCTCACTTTCCGATCATCTCCCTGCAGAGAGTGGTGACTGTCAGTCACGGCTCCCTGCAGGGATTCCCGCTTCGATCCTCCAGCGCTGACTGGAGGAAGGGCGAGAACAGCTGGCTCTGCCTCTAGCTGGATTGAAGCACACATGTACAGGATCTGACAAATATTCCAAAGACTTGATAGAGGAGGGAGAGGTACAGGACTTATTAGCAGGGAGGATGCCACCATCACTAAAAGTGGAGTTACACTTTAACCTAACATCTGAGTACAGATCCACATTATTCAAGATGTTCAAACTTCCCTTTCTACTTTCCAGGCATAAACAGTTGCCTAATAAAAAGGTAAAGTCAGCATTACACCTTTACTCGACTCACCTACTGAAAAGGAAAAACCGTAGCTGACAGTTTACTTCACCTCAGCAATTCTACGCAGACGACAGATGTCCCCAAGAAATGCTTTGTACAGTAAAAGTGCAACTTGTCTACCTCTGATGTGGCCCCTGGTAACTTATTCAGGAACCCAAGCAGTGTTTTACTGTTTACCATTACTTTGAAAAATGATTACATGAATACAATTCAAGCTCTTTCTCTGTGCCCTATTTAATGCTTCGTGTCAAATTGTTGGGACATTAGATTTTCGTGCGGCATTGATGAGCACCTATCAGATAACACAAGGTAAGGAACAACAGAGTTTAACCCTCTTTCACACCTGAGCGACATCGAATATGCGATTTTTGGACATTTTTACGTGAGTAAAATTATTATTATTATTATACAGGATTTATATGGCGCCAACAATTTGCTCAGCGCTTTACAAAATAGTGGAGACAGTACAGTTACAGTACAATACAGTTTGAGAACAATAGGGTTGGGAGGGCCCTGCTCATAGTCACATGTTTTTGCCAGCAGATAGTGAGTGACACACTGATGTGAATGGACAAACGCATGTAAAAATTTGCAAAAACGCAGCAAATGCATGTTTTTGAGCATTTCCATTAAATTCTATGAGGCCAAGAAGCGCAGAATCTGCCAAAAAAAAAAAGTTAATGTACTGTCTTCAAGGGACAAAACACTCAGATGTGAGCATGGCCATAAAAAATGAATGGGGGGGGGGTTGCGTTCATTTCGGGCAGAAAAAGGACTACAAAACACTCAGTGTGAATGAGGACTTAAGAAGGACATACACTTTGTTTTTTTACTTAATCAGCCCTGCATCTTCTCATACCAAGCATCTTTACATTTTTTGCAGCAATGGCAGATATTGCTTTTGGACAACAAATGTCTACTGAACTGGCCATTCTCTAGTTGATCACTATTGTTTTATCCTCCCCTGCTCCAAAGCCCAGACATGCACATTCGCCTGATAACCACAAGAAAGACCATTTGATTGGCAGCTCGTGCACATACTGCTGACTACCAAGTGTGTCAATATGCTACAGCATCCTACCTGTCATAGTAAAGCATATAGTAACTGCCTTGTACAACAAGCAAGCAAGCGGTTACCTAGCTTCGTAGTATCTTTTTAAAATTTCTGTCAAAGCTGTTGGGGCCTTTCGCACCAATGCACATTACATATGTTGGTGCACTGCGGTG